GGGACTCCTCATGACTCCATGTTGGACTTTTCACTTTAGAAAGTTCCTGCGAGAGTCATCAGGACTCCTTACGATTCCTGCTGGAGTTTTTCATAAACTTGGGACTCTCGTTAGAGTTTTGCCGGGAGTCTCGACTAGGGCAGTTTTACACGTCCTTTTTAATGAAACCTTGCTCGAAACAATCGGACATATATTAACGAAGATAGAAGCAAAACAATAGAGAAGACCACTTTTTTAGAAATTTCGGAGCACCCCCACTTTAAGCTTTTGTATCTGGGTCAAATCAGGTCGTAGAACCATAAAAAATTGTTTATAACCGTAGTTTCACGTGGCGAAAAAAAACTATACGTCAAGTTTGGCCATTTAATAGTCATTCTCGATGCGCTGTGAAAACTTCTCTTAAGTGCAATACTAGAGTATTAGAATATGATGCTTATTTACTGATCTGAACTGGGTGAACAATGAATACTGAAGTATAAGCTCAGAACTCTAAGGGATATCGTCTGTCTTTTTCCTCAGTTTTAACTTTTCATTTGTATTTTTATATTTATTGAAACTTTTCTTTAAGTTCTTGTACCATGAAAAACTCTCATCCTGAACAACAATATTATTTCAATCGGCTATTCGTGCAACGATAATCATTTTATCTGTGTGAAGAATGAAAGAAAGTTGAATAAAATATCTTTTGACCATAGTATACAATTCTGTTTGACCTGTACTCTATATCTATCTCTTTATTTTTTGCACAAATAAATTCAAAATAGATCGACCATGACATGTGAATCATCTCAACAGAAGAAGAGAAAACATGTGTTCGTCAATAAGTCTTTTATTTAAAACAATCTAGTTGTGAAAATAAGAAGTTATTTAATCATGAAGTAGAAATATTGCAAAAATAAGCCGATAAGTACGAAAAACTCCAGATGACGGAAGGTAGGTGTTCTGTTGTGTGAAATAAGTTTTTACTGATCGTGCTTCGTTCTCAGTGACTACAATGAATGAAATGGCTAGTAGTCCTCCAAAAGATACAATCGCAACAACACCGGTCTTAGCAACTAATCTACCAGTGTCGACGAACCAAAGAGAAAAGAAGGACTCAGTTAATGCGGATGAACCAGTTACGAATCAAGTGTCACCGATGAATAATTTTCCATTATTTATGAGTCTTACACTTCGATCACTTGGAATTATATTTGGCGATATGTGAGTAGCTGGTAGTTCAATATATTTAAGATTAATTCTATTAGTCTACCAATTAATAGATTAGAATTTGCAGTTAATTTCTGACATTTTGATAGATTCTTAGATTAAAAATCGTTTTTTTACTCTTACTGAAGTTTCAAAATCATGATTAAACGTTCATTGCAAAAAACTAACAATCCTAATAGATTTTTTGATGATGTAAATATCGCTGGAGCTGAGAACGATAGAATAAAATTTACATTACAAAAGACAGTTTACTGTATTTTTCTGATACTTTCTGAATACACTCTCGTTGTTTTGAATCGCAGATAGAAGTATATATGTACGTATTTAATACATCGTTTCTTTCATGCAGTGGTACATCACCACTTTACGTTGTACAAACCGTATTTTCAAATATTAACGAACCAAGTGAACAACAATGTGTGGGAGTAATTAGTTTAATAATATGGAATTTAATTGTCGTTGTTTCAATCAAATATGCTATTTTTATTTTAATGGCCGATAATCGGGGCGAAGGTTTGTTTTAAAAAAAAATATATAAATTTTTTTATTTACACTGCTTATGCTTTAATTCTTCTTCGAAGGTGGTACATTTGCACTTTGTGGTTTACTAACCGGTGAATCAAGTCCACTTCGTAGAAAAGCAAAAAGAGTAGTGGCCGTGATATCAATTTTAGCAGCATCTTTGTTAATCGGTAAGCTTATTCAAATCAATACATATTTAGAGGTTTATTTGGATTTTTTATTTTACATTTAGGTGATGGTGCTTTAACGCCTGCCATTTCTGTTCTTAGCGCTGTTGAAGGTTTAGCTATATCAGCTCCAAATTTACAGAACTGGATTGTAAGATAAAAAAATAAAAATTCTTCTCAACTTTTCAAAACAAAACAACCTTTTTTCAGCTTCCAATCACCATAATTATTATTATTTTACTCTTTCTTGGTCAACAAGTTGGTACGGGAAGAATTGGTATAGCATTTGGTCCAGTTATGATTGTATGGTTTTTAACATTATTTTGTACTGGTATTTGGCGTGTTACATTTCATCCAAAAATTTTAAGAGCATTTAATCCATTTGAAGCATTAAACTATCTCCTTCGAGAGAAAAAAACCGGCTTCTTTCAAATTGGTAGCATATTTTTATCTAGTACAGGTTTAGAAGCATTGTATGCTGATTTAGGACATTTTGGACGTTGGCCTGTTAGGTAAAAAGGAAAAATCAATCAAATCTAACGATAGCAAACAATTTTTTTTCAATTGTTTCTAGAACGAGTTGGTTTCTTCTTGTATTACCAGCTGTTACAATGAATTATTTAGGTCAAGGTGCTTTATTAGCAACAAATCCAACTTTGATTACGAATCCCTTTTACAATGCTGCACCAGGTAATGAAAAGAATTTGTATTCATTACAAGAAAAATAGGCGAAAGTATTATTTACTCTTTTTTCTCTTTTAGGATGGGCGCGGTGGCCATTGATTATATTGGCAACAATATCAACAATAATAGCATCTCAGGCAATTATCACTGGTATATATTGTGTTATTAATTTGGACAATTTTAATATTGCATTTCTATTATAGGATGTTTTTCACTGATTAGTCAAGCTTCTAGTCTTGGTTTTTCACCACCGTTTGGAGTTCAGCACACCAGTAAAACAATCATTGGGCAAATTTATGTACCGGCTATTAATTGGACACTGATGTTTTTAACATTAGCCGTTACATTATATTTTCGAAGTAGTTCTGGATTGACTCATGCTTACGGTGTTACTGTATGCTGTGTAATGTTAATAACCACCGTATTGTACATGTGTATTATACGCTATACATGGCGACGATCATGGATATTTGTTGTTCTGTTTGGAGTGTTTCTCGTTATTGATTGTATTACATTAAGTAGTAACCTTGTAAAATTTGCCGAAGGTGCATGGGTGGCATTACTCATTGCAACATTCTTTTTTATACTTGGCTTTTGTTGGTATTATGGTCAAGGCAAACTTCGTCGGTATTTACATTTCAATTCTCGAACAACCAGTCTTTCTCAACTTCCCCGTCGATTTGGACTAATGAACAAGCGACTAACAATATTACCATCTGATGGTCGACAAGCATCACCAACATCGTTGAATGGTGAGACAAATGGTCAGCTCAGTGTACGACATCATCAAGAAGAGTCCAATTCAGATTCAGAGAGTAGTAATGACGAATATCATGAAAAACGAACAATAAGAAACTATTCTAATGGTAATGGTAATGGTCATGTGTCACTGGTAAAAGATGTTGAAATTACAACTGTTGGCAGTGGAGCTGATTTTCACAGTAGTTCTGGAATAACAGCATCAATTACACCTGGCATAGGTAGAGCTTAATTTTCTCTCTCTGTTGTCTTTACAAAATTATATTTATCTATTTTTTACCTTAAGGTGTATTTTTAACAACATCATCAACTCATACTCCTCATGTTTTTGAAAATTTATTAAGCCGCCTACATGCAGTACCACAAGTAATTATATTCTTGAAAATATCTCATGCTGGCGTACCAATATTATCAAATGAAAAACGTTTAAAAATTAAAACCTTTGGTAATCAAAGGATTTATCATATCACAGCACGTTATGGTATATACAAATGTTCTCCATGCTATGAAATGAAATGAAATTGAATGTGTTATCATTTTAGGTTATTCTGAAAATAAAATTCATGTATTAGATATATTAAAACTTGCTGCTTCGACCAATGGCGTTCCTATTTCAAATGAAGCCAACATTACATTTTTTATACCAAATTCCACGATAATAATCAACAAAAATGGATGGAAAACATGGATTACACGGTGGCCACTCTTTATTTATGCATTTTTGAAAAGTTTATATCCTGGCGCAGCTAAAGATTTAGCATTGTCACCGGCAAACACAGTTAGTGTTGGTATACTAGCACGTTTATAACTTAGACATGCTTTTAATTTGCTAAAAATTTTTTTTTTGTTCTAATCTGCTTGTTAATATTTTAAATTTTGTATACAAAAATTTTTAATAATGAATAGTAATGGTCTATTTTCTCTCATGTAATTAACCATTTTTTCTTATTAAAGTCAATTTTCCGTGAAGACTAGATAAGAGATAAGTTGTTGAACAACATTTTATTGCTGAAGAAACTCTGTCCGGGGAAAATGTTGATTGTCTCGAAGATAATATAATTATAATAATTATAATAATTATAATTTATCAGAGATTGATGGAACAAGATTTTTGAAACTTCTGTCTGCGCATTCAATAAACATTGTCAAACAACGATTCAAAGCTGTTGATCCCTATTACCGTCTAAATCAAATTTTGTGAAGTATTAATTTTTAAAAATAAAAATTTCAAAATTTATCAGTTGTTAATTCGAATGAATAATTTAATGAATATGTCAGAGTTTCTATTGAAAATTTCCTTTTTTCGCATGTTTCTGTGGAAAGTGACTCGGTGGGCGTAAGCTACAATCTTTTTTTAACACATTCAGCACGATGTGAGCCACCGGTGGCTTACGGTATGTTCTAACGAGAAAAACGATAAATGAACCGTTTTCTTTGCTTCTCTTCCCTAAGGAAAGAGAGACGGTCACTTCTTCACTGATTCCCTGTTCGCGAATGCTTTAATTATTTTATTATGTAGAGTGATGCTTTTCACTAAAGCAATCCAGACAAAAGAATTTGTCGCAATCAGATCAGAAAGTTTTTATTCTTCTTACTGCCATCGCGCTTGCTTCTCTTGATTCTTGTTTTCTAATTTTCTCATAACAGCCAGCACAGCGTCGTCGGACATCACGAGCATATCCTTCTTTTTCTTCGAGCTTGTGATCAGCAAATTTGCGCTTCGTTTGAGCTGTTGATATTTGTCTCGGACCCGACTGTAGCTTCTCGAATGGCATGCCAAGTAATAAAGATCGGACAAGACTTTCGCGAAACTGTAGAATGGTCACTTTGCTGGTAGCGTAAGTTTTCTTATATATCAAATAACTATTTACTAACGCCGCCCCAAAAACCAGTTCAAATGCTACTTTTCGGTACCACTTTATTGACCGCCTGAAGGATGTGTAATATGCCGATAGCTGATCAGATAAATCAGCACCTTGCCTTCCTTCGTTGTACTCTAGCACAACTTGTGCCTTCATAATGCGTTTCATTTTGCCTATTGGTATTTCCAGTATCCACCACAGTTGCTGCATGCGACGGTTTTGTAGATATCATCAGTACATCCTTTTTGTCCCACAAGATCAGTTTGATGCCGTCTTTGTTTCCCAGTCCATAAACTTCACCACGTCTAATGTTTTGCTGAACAACTTCGCTTCCCGATCCGGCACGATTACTTCTCAGTGTTCCAATAAGATACGTATCATGTTCCAACAAACGTTCCGCAAGAGAAAATACTGGTAAAGAAGTTGTCAGCTACCACAGTTCGATGACACCCATCAAGACCATCCAGTAAACTCAACGCCACTGTTTGAGCATGTCCAAGACCTGCCATGGGATCTTGCTGACCAGTGTAAATCATAAAATTCCAGGTGTACCCATTGGTTGTTGCTAGTTTGTACATCTTTATGCCGTACTTGTGTGCTTTTCCAGGAATATATTGCTTGCAAAAGAACGCAAGAATAACTTGAGGGATTTTTCATACCATTGCCAAAGTGACTCATTACGTGATGATACAGGGAAGAAAACAATGAATAATCGTACGAAGATAATGAAAAGATCACTAAGTGCATTTAGTAGAAGTTAATTCTTAAAAGAAATGAGTATTTGGAAGGAGTTTTCTAAGAAAAATGAATCGTGGTGAATGTGTTAAATGAAAGACATACGACTAGGATCAACGACCACCGACTTGAAGAATTTTGAATCATCTGCTGTTACTTAATGTTATCGTGTACCGTTTATTGAACGAAAAACACAAAAGTAGACTTTGAAATAAAACAATGATCAGTAGTGAAAATAAAAGACAAATTTAAATTAGTTTCACTAATGTGAATTTTGTATTTTTGTGCTACTCAGTTTTGATACGTATTTTATTATTACTATCATAAAAAAACTTTAAGATTTGAAAAAAAAATTTTGGTCGAACAAGACAGAAAAAGAAGCTCGCGTATCGGGATGAGGAAAACTCTCATCTCAACTGCCGCTGCTGTACAGATGTAATACCGTAAGGAAATTTATGTATTTGCTACGTCTATCTTCATGACCGATAATGTTCGATTCTACTGGAACTTGATTAAAATTGACCACTGTCACTGATAACAACACTAACTCTTGGTGTACCAGATTCACTGCCCAAACTCTCAATTCTTTTCACAATATCCTGACCTTCGACAACTCGTCCAAATACAACGTGCTTATTATCAAGCCTTGAATAGTTAAAATACAATGACTTATAGATTTAAAGAAAGAAAGAGAAAAATTAATAGAACTTACCAGGGTGCGGGTACTGTTGTAATAAAAAACTGTGATCCATTTGTATTCGGTCCCGAATTAGCCATTGAGAGAAGAAAAGGAGCCGTATGTTTTAGTCTAAAATTTTCGTCTTCGAATTTATTACCAAAAATGCTAATTCCACCTGTTCCATCTCGACTTGTGAAATCTCCTCCTTGCAACATGAAATTTGGTATAATTCGATGAAACGGACACCCTCTATAGCCGTAGCCTTTTGTTCCAAGACACAATTGTCGAAAGTTTTCTGCAAAAAATAATGAAGCAAAGATGATAAGAGAGCGAGAGTTTAAAATGGGCACATACCTGCCGTTTTTGGTACCACATCAGAAAACAACTAAAATTGAACAAACATAATGAGTGATCAAAAAATTAGTCTTTTTATTCTCAAAATGAAACAACCATATTCAGTACCATAAAAGATGACTTACTTCAAAAACTATCATTCCTATAGGTTGTCCATTAACACTGATTTGAAAGTAACATCTTGGTCTCGACATTGCTTTGAGTTTCTTACACACTGTTCTTCTCACAATGAGCTACCGAATAAAATATTGAACCTTTATTGATACATCGCTTACCTTTCGATCATCTTACTATCATATTTAGATGAACGCAGTTATCCATGAAGTTCGCAAGGACAATAACGAATAGATTTTTTTTACTATTCATCGAACCCACTGAACTTTTTTACTTCTAGATGAGATGATCTAATAGTTTAAAATAATGTGCATTCACCTGAATTCAAAAGTCTATTACTCTTTTTAACATAACGTTCAATTCAATGTAGGAAATGTATTTGAGAGAAAAGAGGGCTCATATTCTCTTCTGACAAATTAAAATATTCCAAAATCGTTGTTTTTAGTCCCGCCATTATTACATACAGTGGCTTACTTGATTACTTGAAAATAAGTGAAATTTAATAAAATCATCAATGGGTTGTGGTACTATTTACGTTCATTTACCATCGAAACTATCGTCAAAGATTTCTCACTCTCTATTAAATCAAAAAATAAATGTCGAATTACTATTGAAAGAACGACATTTAGCTGCACGAACTTATTCAGAACAACGTGTACTCACTGGGAGGTTTATATTCTGTATTCATTTTGTATGTCAGTAACGTTATTGTTGTTTTTCTAGTTATTGATCTAATGAGACCATTCGAAATGACAAATAAACACATTCAAAAATTATATAATAAATTTTCATATGATCTTAATTTAGCATTAACAGTTACCGTTGAACAAAAAAAACCATTGGAATTATTAAATGATTTAAGATTTTCACCCACCTATTTAACAACAGAAAATTATGAAAATTTAACATATCAAGATGGAAAACATTTAATTGTACAATTGACGCCGGAATATTTATTATTGCTATATGTTGAAATTAAGTCTAAAGAACAAGGCGTACTACATATTTGTCATGAATATATTGGCACACCAGAATGGCTCAAACAAATATCAGGTTTTCACTAAACACTCTATCCGGCTAACTTTTACGTACGTGCGGTACTATTTGCCAAGATCACGCTTGGAGAAAGTTTATACAGAACTGGGAAACGTCTGATTTTATAAGACAAACATTTTTCTTTCTATTGATGAGAAAATAAACGTTGACAGTTTCTCACGTGACTATATACAACGTTCAAACTGAACGCTCTCTATTCACACGAATTCACCTCTATTTCAACGACCTTACTTCTATAAGCTACCGTGAGTTAGTTAACAATCGATTTAATTTCAAGAAATATGTTTGCTTTTTAAAATGAGAGATATCTTTGAACTCTATATATGAGCTTCAGAGCTGGAACTGGTTATGAAACAGTAAACCGAGCTGGTCCGACCGGTTGGAATTATAACTCAAACTGATAAAATACTGGCGAAATTTTTTGAAAATCGATTTTCAAAAAGAATTTCCCCCCCAAAAATGAAATAGTTTGCGAGTACATGTGAGAGAATCTTCACAATAATGAGTCTATAACATTTAACTTTAAAACAAGTGATGGAAATAATATCTGTCTTGAGCATCGTCTTATTTATTCTGACTGAAAAACACGTGAAATTTTAGTTTTTTGACGAAAAACAGAGTAAAAAGAGATGTTTCAACCGGTGAAATATCGGTCTCTACCGGGCCGGTTACAACTCTGATGAGCTTTCGTCGCCACATGTAGCACGATCAATTTGAAGAAAATATAGTGCACTTACAGCATTATATGGACAAACTGTTAAGCTTCTTATGTGATTGTTCGTCTTTCAACCTACCTGCTTTTAGTTTAGGCTACATTTTATTCCGATACATATCGAATCGTATTCAAAATTTTTGTACAATTGAAGCAATTGATACCACCATTAGTACTCCATTGACGCTTGTGTTTCCTTATTCGTGCATATATTCGAGATTGAACTCAGCCATTCTATTGTCATGGTCAAATGATTTTGGTAATACGGATGTGATTGGAGTTGATGTTGGAAAATTATTGAATGAATGTCTTGTCGAATATAATCTTGAGTTTTATGTCAAAACGGTTCTGACTGATTCAACAGCAATTTTATTTGGACATCGATGGAAAAATCGTTCAATAACTGTTTCATGTTTTCTTGATTCAACATTTAATGTCACCTATATTGAACCACGATTAACATTTGAAAAATTAAAAAATGAACGTTTTCTTGATTATTTTGAAAAGGAACCAATGACTCAAAGTGCAATGATCTCTCTAACAATTGGAACCTATGGTGATGCAGATTTTCTCAATACTTTTGATAATCTCTTGACTAATTATGATCATGAATTGGATGAGGCTTCTCTATATTGTGGTCAAAATTGTTTACAAAAACTACTAACATCTGTTTCTCTAGGCGAACTTGTCCGCATTATTATTAATGATTTTAGAAATCGTCATTTAATATTACAACATTCAATTGACGATATTCAAAATAAAATGATTAATGTTAGCATGAAAACATTATCAAAACGAAACATGTTCTATAGTAAATATATAAATGATATTGATAATGATTCAGATACATACAAACGTACAAAAGAAATTTTACAATTAATTGGATTTTCAAATGTGAATGCAATGGATTGTGCCGTTCTAAAATATGTGTGTCATTTGGTATCAAAACGTGCCGCTTATCTTTGGGCTATCATATTGACAGTCATCATAGAACGAACAAAACAACCTAATGTTGGAATTATTTGTGATGGAATTATGTTTAGAAAACATTCAATGATGAGACGAATAATGCAAGCATTGGTTAGAAAACTATTGAAAAACGGTACAGAAGTTGATTTTATCAAAACAGAGTTAGGTGTGAGTTATGGTGCTGCTCTAGCATCCTCAATATAAACTATTTTTATTTGTATACAAAAAATATGTTAAAGAGGTATCCGAAACAATAAAATTTATCATTTTTTATCTATAGATCAGTTAAAGACCAGTGAAAAGACGATTTTTAAAAGTTTTTTTGTTAATGAAAAAATAGTCATATGCGATTATTCTCAGATGTACTCGTTGTCATAAATAGCATCGGTTTAGACACACATTAGTAAAATAATATGCAATCTTTAACGTATATTATCGTTATTAAAACGTGGTTTTTATTATGTAACGCATTTGTCAATTTTCCTCCTCAAAATTTAATAATAGGAACAGGTGGTTATGGTTTTGGTGCTGGCTCAATTCCTCTCTGTGCATCTAGTCCATATGGCGCGGTACGTTTGACACCCGATACAGGAAATGTATTAGATATACCAGTTGCATTTGAACATTATGGTATGTACATTAGTCTTTTTTTCTTTTGATTTAGTACTTTTATAATTTCTTTTATGTACGATCCATATCCAGTTATTCTTACAGTTCATACTGTCTGTTTTAGGTGGATACCATTATGGTGATAGTCACATTAATATTTTTTCACATACTCATATGGTGGGTGCAGGCGTTCAAGATTATGGACAAATAGGTTTAATACCTGTTCAAGTAAATAAAATTGAAGATCTGGAACGAATGATATCAAAATCACATGGTTATCGAAGTGCTTTCTCACATAGCAATGAAGTAGCACAACCTGGTTATTATGAAGTTTATCTTCAAACGCATCGAGTTAAAGTTCAACTAACAGCGGTAGAACATGCAGCTGCACATCAATATATATACGATAAAAGTGCAAATAAAAAATATGTTGTATTAATTGACAGTAGTTATAGTTTAGACTTGAAGGCATGTAATAATAGTCAGGTTGAAATTGATCTAGAAATGAATGAAGTACGAGGATGGATACTATTTGACGGAGCACTATCACAGAGATTTGGTGGTGTTCGAACCTATTTTGTTGTATCTTTTTCACGTCCTGATATCACAGATTATGGTATTTGGAATGATAGTAAACTTTATCCAAAACAATTGAATGCCAGTCAATGTAATTCTGGAGCTTATCTAACATTTCTTAATGAACAAGTAAATATTTTAGTTGGAATTAGTTTTGTTTCGATTGAACAAGCCAGAGTGAATTTACAAATGGAAACGGGATATCAGTCCTTTGACAAAATATTACAATCTGTGCAAACAAAATGGTTAGATGAATTTAATCGATTTGAAATTGATGGTTGGAATAATGATGAAATAATTAAGTTTAATACAGCATTATATCATAGTTTGATGAGTCCAACTATTTGGAGTGAAGCAAATGGTATTTATTTGGGATGGGATGGACAAATAAAAGTAAAACCAGATCATATGGATCATGTCTATACTGATATGAGTATTTGGGATGTATTTCGTACTCAGTTTCCATTTATTCTATTGCATGATAGTAAGCGTATGAATGATATTGTCTCATCAATTATGTTAAACTATGAACAGGGTGGTGATCTACCAAAATGGCCGTTTGCTAATGGCTATACTGGATGCATGATTGGTTCTCATTCGGATATTATTTTAAGTGATCTTATTGTAAAAAATGAACATTCTGAATTTTTAAATTTATCTCAAGTTGTTCAAGCAGTTCGTCAAGTCGCAAACACAAATCAAATACATGATGCACGATGGTTAGTAATACTAATTTTTATGTTTCATTTGAATATATCATTTTTTGATATTTTAGGGATCCTCCTCAATATATTAAACTCGGTTTTGTGCCTTACGAACAAGATCCAGCTGCTGCCTCATTAACTTTAAGTTATGCTTATGATGATTATGCAATAGGCAACATTTTATCAGCCGTTGGATTAAAAGATGAAGCAAACGAATACTATAGTCGTTCAAAATGGTATAAAAATATTTGGGAACCAACAAAAAAGTTTTTTTGTCCAAAACTAAATACCACAAATCAGTTCGATTGTCCAAGTGAATTAGGTTTATTGGATGTATTCGATACTCGTTATGTTGAAGGTGATGCATGGCATTATCGATTTTTTGTTCCACACGATACTAATGGACTAATAGAATTATTTGGCGGAACGAATGAATTTGTAAAAGAGTTAGAAATATTTTTTAAAAATGGTCAAATTTGGCAGACAACAACATTACCAAATCCATATTATTGGCCAGGAAATGAACATGATCTCTTTAGTGTGTGGCAGTTTAGTTATGCCAATCGAATTGATTTAACTCAATTGTTTTCGAGATGGTTAGTAAAGCATGCATTTTCCAATCAACCAGATGGTATTCCAGGCAATGATGATTATGGTGCAATGTCGGCATGGTATATCTTTGCTAGTATGGGTATTTATCCTCTCGCTGGTAATTCATCATACATTCTTGGAAGTCCAAATTTTAATAAAATTACAATTAAGAGAAATAATGGTAATTGCACACTGAATATTATAGCACATGATAATTCGGATCAAAATGTATATGTAAAAAATGTTTTATTAGATGGAGTACCACTAACAACATTTCCCTTTATTGATCATGTTCAACATTTAACATGTTCATCCGCAGAAAAACAATCAATTCAACTCGATTTTTATATGACAGATAAAGCCACCGAATAATTGAAACATTCTGAAGTTTTTTTTACTGTTGAAAATGAATACTCGAAACTATTGAAGTTTTTTATCTTTAATCCACTCTTTAGATGCTCGTGACAGTTCTCCTGACAGATTCGATCATTTATTCACGATTTTCGTTCGTGTTAATTTTATTATAACCGTAATTTTATCGATTTTCTCTCAATAAAAACAAATTTTATCTTAATAAAACAAAGTATTAATACATTATAATTTGTGTTCATTTTTGTTATTCTTTCGTTTTGAGTTTAGTCTTTCTATTCAAATAATTGTTTTGTTATTCATCATGCTTTATTTGATAGTTAATAAACATATTGATTGCTGACATACATTAATTATGAACAGTCAATTCATTCAATTTATATACAATATTTTTGTTTCGAATTGTGATCATATGTTCTTGAGATAAGCATAGGCTATAAGCGAAGATTAGTAATTTGAAACGAAAGATAATTAATAATCAATTCTTTGACGGTCGACTACGATTTCAAAAATTTAACGGTTCAATTTTAAACTTTTAATCGATTGATTTATCGCGAAATGTACAATTAACACAGCAATATCAATAATAAAAAAATAAATGTACAATTAGTAAAATTTATTTCTTGTTTATTCTAATAGAAGCCACGACAGAGTGAATGTCATTATGTAAAAAGTAAAGTAAAAGTATTAATAAACTTAAGATGTCCAGTAAGACGGATGGAAAAAAGCAAAAGTCTCCAAAAAATGTGACTAGTTTTCCAAGTTTATATGTAGCCTTGCTAGCTTTTTAAAACCATGAGAATGTGTATTGCAGTTTATTCAATCAAACCTTCAACATCGAGTGTTTCATCTAAATAGAAATGTCGTTCATCAAAATACATTTACTTCACTTTAACTGTATATGACTGATCCCTTTACAAAAAGTTTACTTCTTCGCGGTTCTGTTATATATTGAGTGAATACACTTGATGCACACTCATACGTACACTTGTTCAAAGATGAACTATAGTTAAATATCATGAGAATGAACTGGCTGTCGAAAGATACATTTCATTGACGTTTTTTCAATTAAAAGAATTGTTCTAAGTACAGCCTGCGTATATATAATAAACAATTAAAAATCAATGGACAAAATAGCATAGAAAAGATAAAAAATTAGTAGACAGACGAAAAAAATTAGAAATTGAAGAAAAAATATACAAAAGTAAGATGATTATTGCTCTACCATGAAGATATATTTTACGTATTGTTGACTTCGATCTGAAGATTTATACTGGTAATTCAATAAGTGAGACTAATATTATTAACATGACTCTTCTTTTACATCCTGAAAACGTTAATTTTTTCTCACATCTCTAAAAAATGCTTTTATAAATAATAGAAAGTTAAAAAATTCACTTGTTACCCTTGCATATCTACTATTTGTTAACCTTCTTTCGTTCACACCGACGATAGACTTCTAGATCTGTCACTGATTACAGAAGGTACAGATGCTTGATTAGCTTTGAACAATGTAACTGTCGTTTCTTCTCTCTATTTATTATGTAGATATAGTCGTGTGTTCACATAGCTATTGTTGTTGTTATTTGAAAAGAGAAAAGAATACGATCTATTTCTTCGACACGTAGATATAAAATGTAAGGTTCATAAACGTTCCTTCATATATACGTTAATCATTGATTTAACAGAATATAAGGAGAATTTTCATTTTTTTCGGCAACAATCACACGTATGAGAGAGAGAGAGAAGGAGAAAGAGAGATAGCTGTTTTTTCTTATTTCTGTTTTCTTTCTTCCAGAGTTTCTATAGATGAAATATTGGTGGATGAGCGCATGCACGTGATCGCAAAAAAAACAATTCTGATATTCTTTTTTTTTCGTTCCAAAATCGTACATAAGAGTACGATAATAAGAAATGCTCCGAGGTAATAGATGAGAGAAAGTTTATTAAAAATAAGTATAAATTCTTTTTGTTATATCAGTGTTATTGATACGTGTAGAAGGACGTATTATTTAATCGATACAGCAATAAAAAGCTTTCAAAGGTGAACGCTTTTTCAATTGATAATGGTATGCCAACATTTCTGTCGAGAACGTTTGTCTTTCTGTGTGCTTCATTTCTTTACTTATTCTAACGTAGTATAAAATCTATGATCTATATTAAAACGATAAAGTTTATTTCTGAAATACTATTAGTATTTCTTGCTGTCAATATAATAGTTCTCCAAACTTAGCTTTTCATCCTATTTTCCCCAAATCATTGAATGAAAGTTAAACTGTGAAGACAACATTTTAGACATTTCTTTTTACCATTTATAGAATGGGGAAAACAAAGATAGATAGTTATGTCATAATGCAGTGGAAACTCCAGAGACGAATATTATTGATTAAATGATAGAAAACATGATGACTGACATATTATTATTCAGAATATTATTTATATTTACAATGATTCAATTGTATGAATTTTCCAGAAATGATCAATGTTCACTTTTGAATTCCAAATTAAGCATATACAATATTTACAGTAATAATTATTATGAACAACAAAAATTTCATGGTAGGTAAAGGACAGATTTGATACATAATCTCTTCATCATATGAATTAGAAAGAAGGATACAAATATGATCAGGAAAAAAGTGTTGCATCCTAGCATTTAAAATTGTAAAAATAAATTTTCGATCATTGATAAAAAAGAAAAACGAAGTCGAGATAAAGATCTGTATGGCTAGAGAAAATTGTTCATACTCGGAATGCTTTCGTCTCTCTAAGTAAGGACGAGAGATTGTATGCCTTTTTATTGGGCTCCGACAACCAGACTATCGAAAAGCGATCGAGATGTCGTATATAACGGATTCGTTAAGATCAGTAGTCATCAATTTTAAATTTTTTTTCTATGGTTAACGTCGTATTCTATCATCATTTTTCACATTCTCATTCAATTATTTGTTTGCTTTAGTAAAATGTTGATACAATACTCGAAATAGGCAAACGTTTTTTATACATAGATCCTATGAAAGTCTCAGAAATTTTCACAAGTGGTTAACTGATAACTGAACTTATTTAAAGGCAAACCGAATTGAATGTTTTCTTTTGTTTAGGTTTAAGATTATGTCAAGGATTTATCGATAATCAATGTTGTTCATCGTCATTAGAAGATAAAATACAAAATATTACGGCACTTGAGTTATATCGTCTATTTGAATTGAATTCAATTTTTGTTTATGATCCATTACTACGTTATTCAATTGAACTAAATGGTATATATTTATCTCTTGTCATATTGAACTGTACTAAATCATCTATTTCTTCTTTCTAAGACACCATCAAGCAATTGTTACAATCATCTCGCCAAGAAACACATTTAGTATTACAACGTGGCTATAATAATTTGTATGAAATGTATCGTCAATCAATTGATGACTTCTATAATTCATTGAATACAATCACGGCACGTACAAAACATGATATTAGTCCATATGTTGAACAATTATTTCGTACAATATTGAAAACATCGTTTTCAACTACATTAACGGGAAAAATAACTGCAGTAAATAATCATCAATCAATTAAATCATCGTATTTTACATGCGTTTGGCGAACAAGACCATTCGGCGATATACCAACGACATTAACTAGTCAAATAGATAAAAATCTTGGAAGTATTTTGGATTTATATGAATTATTAAAAACCGCATCTGAACTTGTACAACTCATTTCTACCGTAAGTTAAACTGACATGTAGAAATATTGATATATATGTCCGTAAATGCCTCTATATTCTTGTCCGGTTGAACAACTAGTTTACACTCACTCTCAATCAACTGTCTCTTTAGAAACATTACTTGAGATTATGTTTTGTGTTTGGATAACAACGTCAATAACCTAAGGCTATTGTTGCCTTTCATAACATAGATCTATATGTCATACGATAGAATGTTAAAAAGTATAGAAAATCGATTCTCTATTGAATTTCATTAAATTTTTAATTTTTATTCGTATACATTTTTTTAGGCAGACTAAAACATCATTTTCTTCAACTGACTCTATCGTAACTATTGAGAAATTTCATAATAATAGGATAAAAAAGTAAATTGACATTTTCAAACTATCTATATGATAACTATAATTGGATTCTCATTTTCGTTATCATTGAAACAGATGATAGATACGTTTTTTTATGTTGTGTTATCTTACTATTATTATTGAGATCAATAGATCATTGGCATTGTTTCCTAATGCTTTACGACAGTAAATATGCAAGTACCGCTAAAAATGACCTTTGTAGATAGCGTTACACATTTAATAGAAAAATAAAATTTAAAGAGTGAAATACCACAAATTAGGAGAAACGTTTGTATACAAGGTTATAATCTGTCATTTCTCTGTTTGATGTATAATATCGATTATATAAGAGATCCTATTGGGAAATGAACCAAGTACTTTCTCATTTATCTATCTGTATACAGTAGTATATATCAAACAGGTTATATTATAGCGTTTAAATGAGCGATAGATAGAGAAATCGTTCTATCAATAACACATATAATTACACATACAATACATCTGTTATGATATGTTTACATGAGAATATTTCTGTTAGCAGCTTTTTTCTTATTTATGCAATTTATAACGTAATAGTAATTGAAATGAATTATTAGAAACAGAAACACTAAATATGATAAATGTGTCAACAATATTCAATACAAACTATTCGCTAATCCATATTAGGTGTGAGCTTTAAATCCGATTATGTTAGTATGACTTAACCAATTAGAATATTAAATTTAAGCTCAAACAACATGATAGTCAATTTTTTTTTAATTAGGGTATTGGAACCGATTATCATTGTATTGATTTAATGACACAATTAAATTATTGTAATCTTTGTGCTGGACGAAATGAGTTACCTTGTTACACTAGTTGTAAAAATGTTATCGAAAGTTGTTTGAGTAATATTACACTTATTGATAATACATGGAAAAGTTTTGTTGGTATGAAATTTTCTATTTTCATATATATTCTGGTGTTATATTACATCAGTTGAATTCTGAATTTTAGATTCAATACAAAATATACAATATTTTAATGGTGCTGAAAATGTTCTCTCATCAATTGGTATATCAATATCTGAAGCAGTAATGACATTTTTTAATGCTGGTGGTGTAGAAAATAAAGAAGTAAATATCGAAAATCTACGCTCATATTTTAATTAAGAAAGATTTTTTTGTTTTGGTTTTAGATCGTTAGTCAATGCGGTCGTTTGCCCATAAACAGAAAATTAAAACGAACAATATCGTGGGATAATACAAGCAGTAATTTAATTTTGAAAACTAATAATTTATTATCTTCAAATACCGATATGATAGCCTCATCATTGGATAAAAAATTGATGATGATTAGTCGATCATTTTCTGTTCATCGCTTATTTTGGTCAACATTACCGAATTTAATTTGCTCTACGTCAGGAGTGTCAGTAATGAATACCACGTGTTGGACTGGTACGACAATTTCAATAGACGGACGGTAAAACGAAGATAAATTATTTGATTGAAAAGAGATGAAAAAAAAACTGTCATTTTATTTTAGCTCTCTGACCAAATCTCAGTTTGATAAGCCGTTGAATTTAAGATTACAATGGCTTTTAAATGAAATTCAAAAAAAATCTGCTGTCTTCAGTTACACTGAATATTCTCAAAGTGAGTGAAGTTATACTTTTTTAAACAATTAAAATTGATTATGCTTACTTTCTTACAGAACCAACTGAATTTTTATCAATTAAAAATGAAACAAAAATCAATATGTTCCCAATAACGACACTTTCGAATGATACACATGATAATTCAAATGATGAACAACGTGAGGATGAATTAGACTATGCTGATTATGCATATGAAGATGAAGAGTCAACTACAACAAGAACAACAATCTCTACATTAACAACAACAACTACAACTACGCGTCATACGTGGTCATCCGTGACAACAACATCAAAAATTTCATCTACACTTTCCGTAGATCATGATTTAGAAGATGATAATACAGATGCCTATTATGATTACGATGATTCACAAGACAAGGACTCGAATGAGCAAGTCTATAATGATAATGACTATGTTAACGAGAATTTTCCCACGATATCTCCACCAATAATAGCAACAACAACAAATACAAATTGGAGAAAAAATATTCCAAATCATCATCGAATGCCTATTATTTGGACGTTTGAAAACTCTCTGAAGACGAACAGTAATAATCATTCGACTTTTTCCTATTCTCAAACGTTATTTTTCATAAATTTTATTTCCATCTTTTTTCTTCAGCTCAAAGTATTATGATACTTTTCACTTCTATGAAGAGAATTATTATTTTTTCACATATTTCTTACTCTCAAATTAGTGACAGTTGATAGATCATCATAGTGAATAACAGCACGAAAAAAGAAAATTGGCAACACATTGTTCTGTTATTTCAAGTGTTCGTTTTGTCTATATTTTAAATTTAAATTTCATGAAAATTCTTGAGTATGATTGTTAGAAGTATTAATTCGTTTTTTTTTCTGACTAATTACACACATTGTTTTGTTTCTATACATTATTTTTATACAAAAAAAGAAGTTTTATATGGCACATTCTTTACATTGCTTTGACAAAGTTATCACAAGAGACATCCTGATTTCTTGAGATACATCGCCATTTTTCTGTGAAATACACTTTTTTAAAACGAATATTAAATTAAACATATGACCACTAGCGTCATCGATATCATCGAGATCACCATTAATTGAACAAGCCATTATTGGCTTTAAATTTTTAATTAACCCTCGTACTACCAACCAGGAGGGTGTTTCACAGAAATTCTTATGTCTTCGACTTAGACTTAAGTCATCATACTTAAGTCTCCGTTTTGTCTTAAGTTAAGCTAGACTTAACTTTGAGTGTTTCACAGAATTTCTTAAGTCATAGACTTAACTTAAGTTAGACGCTTAAGTTAAGAGTAGTCTCACAGTGGGCATTCAGGCGGAAATTTGTTCAAAAATCGACAAGTGAGCTTTTTTGAATTCGAACAATAGTAAATGTAGTCCTTGAAAAGCGCTATCGAATGGTATATAATGATCGACTAGTAATGAATTCCTTCGATGAGTAAGTTAACTTAAGAACATTCACAAAAAACACCGTCAAATATGACACATCTGCAAAGATTCTTATTTCTATGTACAGACGTGCAATATTACCCTATCCAAAGCACATATTTGGAATCAGCACAACCTATTGCATCTCCTGATAATAGAAG